TTAATAGAAGTCAGTTTTAGTAGAGCACAGTTTCACCATAAGCAGAGTGTTTTCCTAGATGACTGAAAGTCCACTGACATTTACTGCAGCAATTCAGACTTCTTTCTCCATGTCACTAAATGCAAATAGCCTACAAGCAGACTTGATTATACCAACACTTAAAAGGAAGCCAGTAGCAATCTGTACCTTTCAGATGCCTTTAATGTACATGCTGTTGCAACTTTGAAAAAACAAACAAAAAAATTTCAAAACAAACCAATCCAAACCAGCCCCGTGGTGGAAAAGTAACATTTAGTTTAGATTAGATTTTTTTTAATGCCTGTTGATTATTTGTGCTCGCTTGCATATTTTCGTATTTCAGAATTGTCAGGTAGAGAAAACATAACATTAGGATCAAGCCAATTAAAAAACTCGCCCACTTTCCAGTGGAAAATCTAGGAGGCAGGCATGGCGTTGGTAAAGATGTTAGTGTTGTGCTCTTCTATAGGATGGGCTTCTTTCGGGGATTTGATGAACATGGCTGTTCATCATTCTCTCCTTGGAACAGGTATCCTTAGGGGAGCAAGGAGGCTCACTATGTTCCTTTGCCTAGAAGAGCTTAGAGTTTTGGTTGGTATGTGTAAAGGCTTTGAAAGCCTGCCTATATTCTCTTACATACCTATACTATACATTCACAGCAAGGTCATACAATCTAGGCCTCTGTCATTTCACCATTAGCTTACTGGAACTATTTATCTGCAGGTACATAATTGATGGACCTGGACGTTTAGCATTTCTCCACCCTATCTTAATACTATTTAGTACATCGTGTTCCAAAACAGATCACAAAAGCTTGGGATGTGGACTAGAGCACTTCTTACAAACCATTTAACAAGTTGAGGTATGATACCCTAAGCTCTCTGCAGTCTAGGAGCTTTTCATCTTGTTCACATTTACATGAATTATGAATTGTGTGATACCTGGTTAAGATTCCACTATTTAAAACAGTTGGGTAAAGAATTAATAAATTTCTGTGGTACAATTTAATTAGCAGAGGTGCTTGGCACTGCTCATTTTACAGAAATTGCCTAAGTCTAGCAGCTGTGACACTCCTGTTTAGTCATCTCATTGATGACAAGGTGAATGTTACGACTATTTTCCAAAATAGCATGGTATGGGTGTTTGAGGAAACAATTTTCTTAAACAAAGAAAAGGAAGGCTTAGTTCAACTGCCAATCCATGAAATGGAACCATAATTTTGTATCTTGAAGTATCCCATTACAGTGGGCAAGTTTTGTGCCTGTTTGGAGTCCTACCCTCTAAAGCAAGATGATTATATCATTGGCTGCACTCATGCACGATAACTTAGGTTTTGTAAAGGTGAAATACAGAGCATCTGAATACCACAGATTTGAAGCCTAACAACATCTTAATATTCACTTCGTGCAAGACCTCCTGAAATACACAAGGTGCCAAAGAAATGGCACCTTAGAACGTACCTCTTTGCCAAAAGTTATCCTGTACAAATGCTCAACTGGAATAACCAGATTGAGAAATGATGATGGGAGCTCTTCTGAAATATCAAAGTGTAGTATTTACTGAACATGCATCAGAGGCTTTGGTATTTGGGTCATCTTAATGCTTTGATCTTCTGGTACTGTGTCATCCTTTTATTGCGCATACTCGCTCTGTTAATGCTTTCTCTTATGCTGTGGTCCTTTAATGCTGCTGCTTGTAAAGCTTCCATTTTGTTTTAAGTTTGATTGTAACTGGGTTCAATCTGCGTGACTATTATGAGGGGGACACCTATAAACCACTCATGTCTTAAACTGTGTTATCCTTTAGGTATCACTATTATTCCTACTTTCAGGATGTTAAGATGCTAAGAACATGTTTGTGTTCCCTATGTACTGTCTTAGCTTGTGAGTGAGCCACAAAAACAAGTCTGGATTGAAAATGCAAATGTTCTAGTTCTTGCATTGCTACAGTTAGGTTTTAAAAGACCTTCTTTGGACACTTTGAAAAGTTTAAATATGGTGGGTTTTTACTGTTTGTTCTTTGACACTCAGAGGCTCAGAGTTTTGTTTCTCTTCTGAATGAAATAAAAACTGGTCTTTGGGTTTTTTGAGATCCATGGCTCTTCTGAAAGACTTGGGACGTCATTTAGCATAAACATATGAGAAATAATATACTGTCTCTGAATTCTTCCTGCAGTCGTAGTCGGACACTGTCTGCTACGTGTAATTCTAATTGTGCTGTGATGGCTGGATTCACTCACTAAATAAGGAATCCTGCAGACACTCACATAATGGTCGTCTTAAGTGCTCCTCAGATTACCCTCCTGTTGATTGTTGTTTCCCTTTGCATATGGTCAGAAGTGCACTTGGTGGTATTTCCGTTAGGATTGCAGTCTTTCCTGTCCTTGAAGATAGCATGCAGTCTCTAAGCATCAAGCAGCTACTGGTTTTGGCAAGAGTTGTCTGTACTTCTCCAGTATCTATGTGTTTAGGTATCTGTATGGCAATGAATGAATCCTATGTATAGGAGATCAGAAAGATTCAATGTCTGTCTTACGCATTATTCCTTGCTGGAAGGTTTTATTCCAAGGATTTTCCATAATTTAAAAAAAAAAAAAACAACTTACTGACAGTCAAACTAAACTTTAGTTTTCTTAGTTTGTCTAATTACTGCACAAAGACAGTCCTTGTGTGATCCTATAGAGGTTTTTTCCTTTCCCATTATTTATAAGCCTTCATATTATGTGAGAGGCTTTAAATTTCTCTGGATAAATTATGTGTAGGTAAAATACTAACCGATTCTTTTTAATTAACATGTTCAGTAATAATGATGTTTAATTAGTTCAGACCTGCACTGCAAATTGGCCTGTATGTTTCTGGTTTCTCCAAATATGGATTAAAATTAAGCTTTATGGTTTTATACTGAGGGTTTTTTAAGCTGAAAACAATAGTCAAAAGGAGTAAACAAATGCAGGATTGTTCTAGTGTTCTGCTTCCCCAGCACATGATATTCTAAAAATACAGAAGTACCTAAGACTACTTTAAGTGTCAAAATTTCTGCAAAATTAAGTCCTTCAAACTGCCTACAAAGCTCTGCCTAATTAGTTTCTTTAATTAGTTGGAAGGATTTTGAACAGCTGTGGTTCTGCTGTAGTACAGTCTAAGCCTGACAGACTAATACCTTAAACGGGGAAAACATTTTTAGTGTACTTTTTACAGAAGTGTAGACTATGGACACAAATGAATGCGTTGTTGATAAATCAAAGACCAGGGGAGGAGGATCTTGTGGCCACAGCAACTTGACATGCTTCCAGCCTTCTCCAGCACTGTTACAGCCCACTTGTTTTAACCTTTGCTACTTCAGCTCCCTCATACTAATTTCACTTTTGGAGGGGTGTGCTGGACAGAGAAAGCTGATGCTGGTGAGATAGCTACAGCTGTCAGGAAATAACGCATTGTACATGAAGGCATAGTCCACGCTTCCTACTTGTAGTGTGCTTCCTCTCAGGCCGCAGAGCCCTAGCCACATGACTTTTAGATATAAGGGACTTTCCCGTGATCATAGGAGGATTAGGTAACTGCCCTACTGCTTGTTCCCTCCCTGTTGTGGGGTTAGGATTTGATCCAAAACCAACAGTCTGTGGACAGAATCTCATTGACTGACACTGGTTTTTAAAGTCAGACTCTATAAATAAAGACAGTCTTCACGGAGTGGAAAGTTTGAATAAATGTGATCAGCTGAAATGACTGCTTTCTCCTAAAGTCTCCACCCTGCATCCAGCAGTCCCATCAACCTTCAGTGTGAATGTATATGCTGGGGGCCTAGCAGGAACACAATTAGGCCTTACAGAGTTTTCACAAAATTAAAGATATTCTGGACTTCTGGCATTTTCTAGCCCAGCCTCCTGCTCAAAGCAGGACTACCAGCAGTGCTGGATAAGGTCAGCCATGGCTTTGCCTAGCTGAGTCTAGAAAACCTTAAAGGATGGAGAGTCTGCAACCTGAGTGGCCCATTCCAGTACTGCATTACCCACCTGGTGAAAAGATTTTTCTAGCATCTGGCTTGAACCTCTGAAATAGAGACATTGGCCTATGTCACTGGTTATCTGCCACTATGGAGAAGAATTTGGCTCTATCTTCATAACTGACCTTAAAGTAGCTGAAGGCTTCTAGGAGACTCCCCCCTTAGCCTCCTCCACCTAACTAAACAAGACTGGCTCCCTCAACCTTTCCTTCTAAGGTGTGTGCTCTAGGGCCCCATCTCGGTAGCTGTCTACTGCATCCTCTCCAGTTTCTCAACATTTTCTTTGAACTGAGGGCCCTAAAGTCGACTACAGTATTTCAGATGCAGCCTCACCGTTTGAGTACTGAGGCATAATGATTTCTCTTACTTTGCTGACTGCATTTCTAATTAGCCCAGCATGCAATTTTTCCCCACTTGTGATGAGAGCCCACTGTTGGCTCGTGATCAACTTAGTTTCCACCATAACACCTACATCCTTTTCAGCAGAGCTACCTGACAGCCAATTGATCCTTACTTCTTTCTTGCAACCTAATGTTACCTATCTTCTAACCAGAAAACCAGCATTTTTCATCCTGTTTTAAGATCAACTTGACTTTAAAAGTTTAAAGGGGTTTTGTACTTGTGCTGTTGGCTTGATCTACTGCAGAGACAGGCATCAACTGCACAATCTGTATACATCTCTGCATGCTTCCATATCTGGGCTGTATTCCAATATGGTATTTTTCACTGTTACATAGCTTTCCCTCTTGGCATTCCTCATTGTGGAAAAAGCAGCTATCCAACCTCTTCTTCTGTAATTGCTCTCATTAATTACAGGCAGTTAACAAATCAGCCTGTGAAAACCCATCTGCAGTCACTAAAGAGTTACAGTTTGCATATGTGACCAGGAAATTTTAGATGTTTGCAGGCAGCCAATAAAAGGAGAGATCAACAACGCAGCTGACTCACAGGCAGGAAAACTTGAGCTGTGTTTGAATGCAGTTCAAAGCTGACTCGAACTTGGTATCTGCAGCAGTTTCACTCCATTATTTCATAGTTTTTATGCCCATATTTCCAGAGGTAAGTTGATTTTTGTTTCCAATTTCTTTTACCGAGACATCTGAATAATAACACAACATAGTTTCTCTCATACTAAGGGAAACATCTTCGCTACGAATTACTTTTTAAAAAAATTAGCTTTAAAATTAGAAACTCAAAATAAATGGTTTTATAGCAGTCTCCCTCCTGCCCCTGCCTGCCCAACTGGGGGAAGATGACAAAGTTGTCTGAGACTTTTAGTGTCTTACTAAAAAATAATACGAAACCCTTCATTGCAAAGGTCACCTAAGAAATATTGGGTTTGTGGTTTGATAGTGAGTTTTTTAAAAGGGTCTAGGAGAAAAAGCATTCAGAAGAGCAGAACTATTGGAAAAAATAGCTTTGGTACCAAACTTGCAATCTAGGGGGTAGAGAGAAACTTTGTTATCTGTAATTCCATGATAGTGCCATATTCCATGATTAGTCCCTTCAACTGTTTTAGGAATCTGGGTAGCACCCTGGATAAATAAAAGATCTCTCATTTTAGGGTTAAACTCTTTCGGAAATTATCAGCAAATCACTCTAAGTTCTGGTGTGGAAACAGATGTACAAACTCAGACACAGGGACAATGGTGCTTGGCATGTCATGGTTTGTAACAGAGAAAGATTGAAGTGGTTTTCATTTTGGTTTTAGAAAATCTCTAGTTAAATTAGATTTTGCAAATCCAAAATAGGAGCTGATGGCTAGGTTTTATTTTTATTGATATAGTCAGTTAGCAAGAGTTTAAAAAACTGTTATAGCTTTACTTAATTCAATGTTAAATAGAAACAGGTATTTTCAGGAATGGTTTAGATCCTATATTCATTGATCTTCCTTGTACTATGTTTGGAGTTGAGTAAATTATTTTGGCTATTTAAATGATTATTTATCATAGTATATAATAAAAATGAGACATAATTTTGCACCTGCCAGCCTTCTGATTACCTCCTTTAGGATTTGTAGATCTGTGTGGTCCGTCTTTGAAACTTTAAAGGATAAATGGCTCATTTGGAAACTTATCTTCATTCAGAGCAATCTTTTCAAATTTTATGAAACTCTTAACCTGTCTGTCAGCCTCATACCATATTGGATTTATTCTTTAAGGAAACTCTAAGTGAGGCACCTAAGGCAGCTATTACTTTCAAACTATAATAATCTGACAAGGGCAAAAAATTCAACTGTGCTTTCCTATCAAAATCAAATACTGTTGAAGCTGAACTGGTAAATCAGTGATTGTGAACATGCCTGCATGGCACAGCTTAGATATTGAGATTAACCAAAAATAAGTTGGTCATGAACTAGAAGCAGTTCAGCCATGAGCACAGGCTAATTTATCTTCAGGTTTTTTTCTACTTTACTCACAGAGAACACGTGATCAGTCAGAAGACTTTCAGGACTTCTGCATCCCAGGAGCTCTTTTGGTAGAGCACATCTTCTAGAAGGACACAATTCACACTCAGCAGTCCTTACTGGTTACTTCAAATTTTTGGCCCTGTTACTTCAGTTCCCTCGTGTGTTTTCTTTTCTAGCCCTGGTTTACTGGACCCTGAAGGGAGTATTTCAGTTTGAGTTTTTCTGACTCACTGACCACTGATCTTGCAGTAATCCTTACCAATGGTTTTATCCCATCTGTTTTCTTAGCTTGCTTGTTTTCCTCTTTCACCACTGACTTTTGGTTATCTCCAGTCTAATGTAGCTTCACAGATGTAATTAAAAAATGTTACTCGTATAGAAACATAGTGATGCTTTGCAGAGGTTATCTCTAATCCATGTGCGCTGCCACGCAATGTGTCTGACACATTCAGATGGCCCTAGAGAGGTACTGTATAGAGAGAGTATTGGCCAAATTAGTGGCTGCTATAAAGACACAACTTCATTTAGCAGAGTTCTGCCAGCTTACAGCAGCAGGAAATTTGCCTTTACCTTGCTTTTGCACTGATGTGATCCTGTATTAAAGAAGATATGCAAGAATGATGCAGAACACACTGACATAAGTTATTGAATAATTGCCTGTTTTATGAGAAGTGGGGAAACTGTATTTGTCTAGCATGTACCCGTAAGATACTAGTTTGTTGTCTACATAATTCAGTATCACTTAAAATCACATTTTATATTATAAATAATGGCCCAACATTTCAAAGTCATCAGATGGAAATAATAATGAGCAATTAATTAGCACCTTGCAGCCTCAGATGGCAAGTTATGGTCCAGACATTCCTTTGCAATTAGCGCGTTTTTCCTGCCTTTATAAGGAAAGTCTGACACACAGTGGTAAAAGGAAGCCTGTTGGATTAGAGTAATAGTTACTTGGGAAGTAAGGGGTGGTGCAACTTCACTGAGCTTTGGTAGTAGTGACAAAAAGTAGTCCTTAACTTCTTTCTTTTCTGCAATTTTTTCCCCCAAGCCAGCCATCAAGAAATGGCCAAATCATTGCCTGTAGTAGCCCAGGAAGATTTGGATAGCTTTACCTTGACCAGGACAGGCTCAGGCTTTGCACTCAAAGCTTTTCATGTTTCTTGGAACACTCACATCTCGGTGAAGCTGCTGACCAGCCGGGACACTACAGAGAGGTACGTGTCTTATTTGGCCAACTAACCACGCAGTTAACCTTGCTGCGCAGGTGGGCAGCACAGACCTGTAGTGATGGCACCAGAATGAATTGTGGCATGCCCAGCATTATCTGATCTCTAAATGCATTCCTAGAAATCCTGACTGGCCAAGAGGCAACTTGGAGGCAGTTATACTGGGAAACAAGCTCTATGGTTTTTACAAATTTTTATAAAAGTAGAGCTTAATCCTGAAGTCATTAATTATCCCTACTATAATAATGTCTACAAACCCTGATCAGTAATACTCAGCATGCTATGGTATTACATCTTTCTGGAGGTCCCTGAAGAGATCTCAGTTGAATTTAATCTAAACCAGCATGTACAGGTGAGGGAGTAGAGAAATGGGAGGAGGGAGCGATAATGGTCAGGGTTACAGAGCAGTGAGATGTGTACATGTCCTAATTATAAAAACAAATGAGCAGTAACTGATGGGCGTCAGCCTACTGACCACAAAATTCCAGTGTGCAGCAAAAACACAGAAAGTTTCCATGAATAACCACAAGCTACTTCTGATGAAGCAAGAGCAAAGCATTTTAGGGAATGCACTGACCTGACTGCTTATCAAATAAGGAGTGTCTCGTGCGCATCTACAGACTAGTTTCTTGTTAACTGAGAACGCTGCCATTCAGGTGGCTTTTGTTAAAAGTAAAATACAAAAGTGTCCTACTCAAATACATAGTGTTTAATTTGTTCCATCATAAAGGCAGGGGAGGAGAAAACAGTATTTCATACAAATATTTTTAAATTGACAGTTTAAATTGTCAGTGATACTTCAAAAAACAAATGCTGCCAGAATTTGGGAACAGTTAAAAATTTTAAGCGTGTTTTTTTCGGGGGAGGGGGGAGGAGGAGGGAGGGGGATGACAACACATTGCTTGTTTTTTTTAGACAATCTTGTAATCGGAACCAATGTTATTTGTTTGGTAGCTTGTTTAAAGAAAAGTTTCCTCTGTCCCCTGTCCACATTTTCTTTAAATCAAGCCAACCCCAAAATAAAATAGTTAAAGCTACAGAAATCAACATTTTACTTTGCTTTGAATTTAACATGCTATCCTGATTTGGCATCTTTCCACTCAAACTTACTCCCTAAAACTAAAGCCACTGTTCTGCTTTTCTTTCTACCATTCTAATTTCTTATTTACACTTCACAGTGTATAGGAAAGCTGGGAGAATAAACTGTTTTACTCCAGCTGCAAAATGTTTAACTGTGTGCTGACGATAATATTTAGAATTGTGGAAATAAGTGTTAAAACAGGTGGGGCTGTGTATTACTTCTAGTGATTAGTTTACAGGCTTGTGAATCAACACAGTAAATATGAGAAATTGTAGTCTCAATGTAAAGGCTGGTTAGAATAATGAGAATGAGAACCAGGTCTGTTGAAATCAACTGAATTTTGAATGAATTTCAATGAATTTTCAGCTCACAAGTACCATAGAGAAGAGATAATCAGATCTTTAAAATGAAACACACAATTAACAAAATTTGAACCTGTAGCAGAAGTTCAGTTATTTCCATGAAAATGCACAATTGAATTGCACAGGAAACATTGAACTGTCATGAAGAAGTAACTGTTTGAAGTCCTTAGACAACAAAACTTGATTCTTCTTCTGATGATCAAAGTAAAGCTTTGTTATTCTCTGTAAATAAACTGTTTGAATTCAGGTCTACAATCCAACCACAGTTGAGCTTGAATCAAATTTGGCAAAGTCACTAGAGTGGTACTGCTTACATCAAATCTGAATTTGGCTTCACTTTTATAACATGCTATGACGTGCTATAATATCATATATCATTTATATAACATGGTCCCATAAGATGAGCATGGAAGATCATAATTTCCGTGTAAATGTGCATCTCACTAATAGAAAAAGGATGCAATACAAGTTCTTGGGGACAGTAAGGGGAAAAAACTTGATTTTTCTTAATTTAGCATTTCATGTAATTCAGCTTTCTCCTGCCTTCGCACTTCAATCCCGCTTTAAATTGTGCTCTTACGTTCATATTAAAGCATCCAGAGGTCTTCCACGTTATATTAGAAAAATACACTACACAAGGGATTGCTTCATTTTCTTAGAATTGTTTGGAAGATGATATATTATTGGTTTTATTGGTAGAATTGAATTAGCTTGTGTTCAACCGTATGGTTATCTCTTATTTCCATATCCTACACTAGCTCACCTCTAGCTGAAATTCTCCTCAGTCTAATCTGCCTCTAACCCTTGCTATTTTTTACAGGGAGGGGAAGTTGCTACTTCAGGATATAGCAAATGTCAGACACTATGAGTCTGAACGTCTCCTGCCTTCTCTTGGGATTTACCAATACCACAGACTTGTGGGGATAGTGACTGAATGGATGAACAATGGATCCCTCCACTCACTCATCCATGAGGTACATAAAAGAAGTCATCTTTTATAGGACTGTCGTGGTTTAACGCCAGCCAGCAACTAAGCCCCACACAGACACTTGCTCACTCCCCACCCTGGTGGGATGGGGGAGAGAATCAGAAGGGTAAAAGTGAGAAAACTCGTGGGTTGAGATAAAGACAGTTTAATAGGTAAAGAAAAAGCCACGCAAGCAAAGCAAAATAAGGAATTCATTCACTACTTGCCATCGGCAGGTAGGTGTTCAGCCACCTCCAGGAAAGCAGGGCTCCATCATGCCCTGGTTACTTGGGAAGACAAACGCCATCACTCCGAACATCCCCCCCCGGCCAACTTCCCCCGTTTTTTTTGTTCAGCATGATGTCACATGGTATGGAATGTCTCCAGCCTGCTCACTGGCAGGGCAGTATGAGAAGCTGAAAAGTCCTTGACTTAGTTGTCACTGAGCAGTGCTTACACTAAAACATCAGTGCGTTATCAACATTATTCTCATCCTAAATCCAAAACACAGCGCTATATCAGCTACTAGGAAGAAGATTAACTCTATCCCAGCCGAAATCAGGACAATATACTTTCCTCTGCTCCTTCAGGTGCCCAACGTGGGGCATGAAGGGTTGAGATAATGGCAGATCTGACCACAGTATGTTAAAACAAATTTGTCATAAGCATTCATTATTAGGTTAATAGTTGCTGGTCGTTGATTTATTTGCTCTGAGGTGTTGTGCTTGTTCTCAGAGTTGTGTTATGTAACACCTTACTTGCTGTATACATTCCCTGTTGTGCTGTTTATCATCTCTGGGCACTGGATTAAGGTTATCATTTTGCTGTACTGTGTAACACTGGCTTATGATATGGTAAAATTACTGGTCGTGAGACTAATCCGGTATTTGTACTCAGCATTGCCGTCATCGCCATACTTCAGGAACCATACCTCAGAAACAATTAATTACACTCTTGAGGGGGGAGGGGAAGTACGAGAGCGGCTGTGTGGTGCTTAGTTGCCGGCTGGGGTTAAACCACGACAGTGACAAAATTAATTACAAGGTCAGCCAAAAGAGAACAATCAGCATGTAAATTATGGACAGTAGTCACAGTCAATCTGTTCTTTAGCTTCTGTATTATACTTCTGTTTATTGTCAAATGAAAATGTGAATAGTAACAAGTTAACACTACCAAAACCTGTATTTTGTGTTACTTAGCATCAACTGTACCCAGAACTTCCGTTTCCCTTACTCATAAGGATCCTGTTGGATGTGGCTGAAGGGCTGCAATACCTTCACAGCCTCGAGCCTGCTTTCTGCCACTGCAGCCTGAAACCTTCCAATGTGCTTTTGGATATGCAGTACAGAGCGAAGGTGGGAGCTTCTACTTTTTAGCCTATTCATGTAAAATCCAGTGATTGTCCTATTGTTGCATATATTTATCCTAATAGTCAACGTTTAATACCAAGACTTGAGGTATTGTTACTAAAATTTACTTTTTCTTCCATCTCTCTAGATATCAGATTATGGTCTAACCAACTGGAGGAAACGGCAACTGAGGTCAGACCTGCAGAACTGCAATTGGAGAAACTGCCAGGATTTAGTATACCTCCCTCCTGAAATACTTGAAGGAGGCCTTCCTTCCCAGGAAGGTGATGTTTACAGGTGAACGGGATTTCTAAGGGCAGGTCATACTTAGTCCTTGCTACATTCTAGAATGTTGCCAAAATACTTATTTTCAAAGACACTACAGTAAAAATGCCAGATCTACATAATGCAGTAGGATAGTGTTCCACATGAGGCCAGTTATAGCAGTGAATTAAATTTGAAATTCCCCATATTTGGTGAATAATATACCAAGGTTAAGAACTGTTCTCAAAAGTTATCATAAAAATATTTATATAATGGACCTAAATGTTTAAAAAGTGTAACATAGCTGCCAAAACTTTTTCATATACATTTAGAAACCTAATAACTACAATTCACATAGTTTCTAAGCACGAACTGTTGTTGGCGTTAGTTTCAGGAAGAACTACTGATGCCTAGATGAGGCCCAGGTAAAAATAAGACCTTTCTCTCAATAGTGTCCCATTAAGGTCCTATGGAATCTCCGCTGGAATAACTCACTGAGCTACTCAAGCATTCATACTTTTTAACTAAGGTGATTTATGCAAAGGAGGAAGATTACCTACTGCCACGTGTCCCTTTTGGATACGTTACATGCTTTGTAGTTGCCTCAATAAATGAGACAACCTCAAATTGCAACTATTGTCTGTATGGACATTCATCTTTAGAACCGGCATACAGAGCCTGTGGACTAATATTATAAATAACTTTTAAGCATGTGCTCTCAGAGCTTTTATGGAGGCAAGAAATTTAAACTGCTGCTTTATCGTCACAGAGGTAGGCTCTAAGACGAGTCAACACATAAACTTGAGGAGACCTATAAATGATGTGACTACTCTGATGTTGTTCATAAACACAAGACTTTTGCACAGGAAGAATGGCGGCTTACTTTCAGGTGGCATAATTCATCTTCCAGCATGTCATTCTTATATAATTTTAGCTGCTCAGATGTGACTCAGTGCATGACATAGGTGCATGTCTAGACAGTGGTGCAACAGAGAAAACAAAAGTATGTGTCATATATGAAATATTACTTAAGTACATGTAAGTTACATGTGTGTCGACATTACATTAATACTTTCCTAGAGGGTATTTAAGTAAAAGCACTTTCAGATGTTATGTGGAAATAAGACAGAAGAGGAGGTTCTTTTAAACACTGTAATTCAGCACTACAGCAAGATACATGAGTAAGCAGATAAGTTTATCCTAGAAGTGCTTCTTCCCCTCTTGATTGCTTTGCTTCTGACTCATGCATAGTCTGCTTTTTCTCTTCTAGCAGCCTCCTTGCTTCTGCCTCTGATTTAGCAGACTGAGCTTTTTATCAAACTGCATTTTATACCATCTGAGTTGTGGGTTATATATCTAGATCTATGGTATCACTAGAATACTTCCTAGGATGTTAGAAAAGGAAAAAGGCATTTGGAGCTTCATCAAAACTTGCTGAAGAAAATAGACACGCAGTGGGTCAGAATCAAATTTTTGGTAGGTTAACTGATGCACTTGTCAGTACCTGCTGAAAAGTCCATCTCTTTCAGTTGCTATTTAAATTACTTGAAAACAAAATAAATGATAGAGAAAGGAGAACAGAAGGTTCTGAAATTCACAAGAGCAAATGGGGATAAGGTGGTAACCTGAAATGTAATTCTAATTGATCCTGTGTTTAAAAAAAACTTAAAAAATTTAATTCTAACTGATTTATTATTTTATAAGATACATTCAGTTGAAAACTGAAACTTAATGCAGGAAAAAGGATCTCATCAAATTGGGAAAGACTCGGATAGACTTTGTCTTTCTCTTAAACCAATAAACTTGCTCTTGGAAATGAGAACATAGATATGGATTGCACACTAATAATTGGTCCTTTGCTGGTTTGGGTTTTTTTCAGTTTTGGAATACTGTGTTGGGAGAGCCTAAGCAGACGGAAACCTTTTGAAGGTATTTATCTCTCTTGTTCATGTCAGACTTCGCGTTGCCCTAATCTTTTCCACAAATTCCCTTTTTAAATTATGATACAAACAGCATTATCTTTTCAGATGTCCCTTTGCCTTATATTACTGTTACAGCATATAGCTCCACATTATGGAATGTAAAGATTAGAATCCCTCAACAAATCCTTAATGTTCCCAAAGAAGCTGATCTTTCTGCAGGGGAAAGGTGTAGCTTCTTACCCCACTTGTATCATCTCTCCGTGCTTGCTGAAGCACTCTGTTGCTGAGTTGGGTTTTCCGCTTACCTTTAATGAGAGAGAATACTTTGTATTTGACAGTTGTCATTTTGAAATCAGGGAACATTTTAGTGACATGCAGCTAACTGGATGAGCAGAATGCTCATTTTTAAAGTTGCCATGAGTTTCAAATCCTGATCAAGAAATGCCAGTTCACGCTGAATTCTCTTAAGCACGTAGGGAATCTTACTTTCTTAGATGGAAGCGTGAGCAGTTTTAAAGAACTTAGTTTGCAAAGCATTGTATAATAATTGTCACAGCCTAGGAACGATCCCTGTTTCATGGTGGTGGAGATCAGTGAAAGGCTTCTTTGCTATGGGCTCAGTTCTGCATGGCAAAACTGACTGAAAGACTCCTGTATTTTACAGGCTGAGGACCATTTAGAAATGCTGCATAGAGTAGTATCTTAATGTTCATACAGCTTATGGCTGCCATCTTGTGGCTGCCCAAAGTAGACTTTTTTTTTTAACAATAGGAGTTACAGTCTTATAATGCAGGTGTAAGGGTTTATATAAACCTGTGTGCTTAGAATATACACTGTGTGCTTAGAATAATTACATGTATTCCTGAGGTATCTGTGCATGTAGTTCACAATGTGTGTTTACCTATCTATTTGTGACTTATTATTTGGATGGAGTTCTTTTCCTGAAATGTCCTGTTGCAATAAGTAGCTGTAGTTATTGTTAAAGGTTAGCATATCTATTTACAAGAGTGTTAATATATTTTTGCTTTCAAAAAAGCAGTCTTTGTTTTAAAAAATACAAAATAACTTAGGCTGAATATCATTTTAAGAGAGTTCTGAGGTCTTTAATATTTAATATAGGACATTTTCCTATAAATTGCAGGTCAAACAACCCTGCTGGAAGTTTTGACAGGAATCTGCAGCAGTTTGCGGCCTGGCATTTCAGAAAAGTTTATACCAAGCAATTTGCCTGAGAGAAATACACTGTTACACCTTATCGCTCTGTGCTGGCATCAAGAACCAGATTATAGACCACGTACTGCAGGTAAGGTTCAGGACTTGCTTTCTTTGCAAGGTTTGTAATGGGGATAGTCTTGCTGGGAACATCGCTCTAGCACTCTAAATCAACGACAAAAACTGAAGTAGAAGTAGTCTTTAGATCATCAGAGTACTGTAGATGGTTTTTCTAACTGAAGTTTCCTACCAGAAATGGCTTGCTTATCTCCAAAATTGTGTTTAGTATAAAGTAAAAATGAGTACAAATAAAGGAAGGAATGTTATCAGCTATATATACTAGTTTAATAAAGATCAACCTGTCTTCAACACTTCTTGATTCCAATGTATAACCAGTTCCCTTTGAAGTGTGCTATCGTTTACTTTAGTAGAATTGTTATATTTATCATCTGTTTCTAAAAAGATAGCCAAGAAATGTTAATATTGTGATATTTGAAGACTTTTGAGCAAATTTGCAAAGTTGAAGTGCTGAGGAAGCAATTTGCATATAGCTTTACTGTGATTTATACAGTCATGTGTATCTTTTGCAAGTAAGTTCACTACATCTCTATGAACATTCAAGAAAATGTGATTTTAATGTGACTGTAACCGTTCCTTAAAATCAGTTCAAAAAGGAAACCAAGAGGAGGTATGAGGTGGAAATTGTATTAAACTAATTTTATCTAGTTCATCCAGCTACTCAACATAATAGTAAAGTTAGTTGCAATACACTGATGCCTAAATATATACACACTTTCATACGCAATGTGGTATTTAAAATGCTTTATTACCCCTGCAGAATGTGTAGACCTTCTAAATGGAATTTCGACTAGTATAAGTAAGGAGGCAATTTCCACTGCAATCTACAATCTCATGGATGCAAAGGTTAGTGCAAAATTAAGTTCTGTTCTCCTACAAGGACATTACTTGATTCTTTCAACTGCAATCTTTGTGGTCCAAAACCAGGAAAGGTTTTGTCTTCTCTGGCATGTCCAATAAAACAATGAGCTGGAAAGTGCCGTTTGGCACTTCAGGTTCATTCAGAAATTGTAGAAAATAGATATTGTGAGGTTCTCTAGAAGCCACACCAATTTCTGCCTGAGACTATAAAAATACGATAGCTTCTTTCCAGTCACCAGCTGTAATCAGACTGGTAAGCCCATGTGAGTGAGAACAAATATCAGCCTCAAGTAGATCAGATGAGGGCTAGAATCAAGGACAATTTTTGTTTTATGTATTGGTAAGAAGATATTTATTCCAGAACCTGGACAGCGTTAGTACCTGCTGCAGCAATACTAGTACCAGCACTTTTTTTGTATGCTTCACTGCTTCTAAATTGACGTGCTTCAGGCACAAGACACTGCTTGTCCTAGGGTCTAAGAGGGTTCTCTGATACCACAGGAATGGATGGGGAACAGCCAACAACTGAGGAATACAGCTAACTCCATATATGTCTACGTTGCCATGGGAAATCTGGCACAAATCTGACTGCCACAAATATAGCTATATCCTACCTAGTTAACTTAGATAGTCATAGTGGGAAAACCAGTGACGTATGCTTCAGCCCTTGAACAAGTATTCTGACTCCATTTACACCCATGCTGTGTTGTCGGTTTCATTGCTGTGCTTATGTGAGATATTTATGTTAATGCCTGCTGGATTATTTCTACATGTTGCAATCACATTCTGGGATTATAGAACAGACTTGATCAATGTTTTAATAGGTGGCATGGTTATAGTCCAAGTCATTTTTGCTACTGTTGAACTTTATTTAGGATTGTACTGCCAAATATTCCATAATCTAATGCTTCAATCTCCCTTGAGCAACGTTTTATTTTTCTATTTGCTAAATTATCAAAGAGCACTGTTTATTGTTCAAACAACTGAACTGATATGTCCTAAATGACTGAAAATGCTACTGGAGATTCTTGAAAATGGATTGATTCATAAATGTTGAAGTATATAAACTAAAAATAGTTGAACAAATCTGCTGCAGATGTACAAAATGGAAAAAACTTACAAGTATTGACACATCCTTATTGCAGACAGTTTGGCATACTAAACACAGGATGACCCTGCTGTTTGGATACTTAAAGGAAAGCATGTTATAGCTAGCGCGATCTCTCTCTCAATACAGGGCTATTTTCACCTTCCCCTGCATGATTCAAAACTGGGTTTTAAAATAAATTTGAAACAGCAGAAACAGGGTAGAGTTATGTCAGATTCTATGCCCACTTACATGTGTTAAATTGTAAAATTGCTCTGTGCAATTCACTGTTACTATATATCAGCGTACCTGAGAGTGTAATATATATTGTCAGTATAAATTGTCAGTGTCTTGCTCCTGACAACTGTGAATTGAACAAACCGTTATGTATACTTACTAGAGTTACTACGCTATTTCTTCCAGGAGACAGCACTTAACGCATGCAAAGGTTCAGAAATATACACATTGCAGACGGGCATAAGCAATTCAGAGGTGAGTACATGGCTTGAGAGTCTTACAAGAGTACTTCATAAGCTGCTTGTTTCTCCTGCCAGCCCTGACACTGTTAATAAAAACACTGTGGGGCACAATGTCCCTAACTGTTTTTGTCCCTAACCAGGATAACCCCATCCAGTTAACCAACAAAAACCACTGTTTTACTTTCTTCTAAGCAGCTGACTCAGATGTTGCTCTTGCAAAAACAACCTCTTCCACTTAAGAGTTGCTTTGAACCTCTCTTTCTTGAAGAGGTCCTAATGAAATGGCAGAAATCTAACCTTTCTTGTAGTGTGTTCAAAATGATGGCTGGAAAAAGTCCTAGGCTGAACTCTAGCATTTTCAACCAATTTTCTTAGATCAAGGCCAACTGCTCTGTGATCGTTCCAAAATACAGTTAACTCCCATTTTCAAAGTGATTTTTGACATTTGTGGCAGGCCTGCCAATACTGAAAGATACAGAGAGAACTGAAGCTCACATGCCTGGATCAGAGCTAGCTTTAAACAGCTCAAGTTCTGGTGACACCATGGCTGCTGGCTGCACAGATTGCACAAGCAACCTAGGACTGCAGTAAACCCTAGGACAGTTAGCCTATGGATCTGTGCTGCCACAGTGACCCAAGGTAACTAGCTAATGTCAAATTAAGTATGTCTGTAGGCTCAACAGCTGCATACCCACCCTGCCCTGCACTGTGATACTACTGCCTTATATTCCAAGAGAAAACTGCTTAGAAAAGGTTTTGGAACAAATATAATTCTTTTCTATTTTGATCTTTTTCAGGTCATCTGTTCACCAAAACCCAACCACGTAATCAGCAAGAAAATTCCTTTTGTAGTGCCAAGCTTGTCAACTATTCTACTTGATAGCAGTGCAACTAATGCACGAAGAGAAAATATTCTTGAGATGGGTCTGTCAAATACTATCCCACAGAACACAACAACAAAGAAAGGTCTCTACCTTGCAACATATTCGGCTCCCAACTGTTCTAAGAAAAGGATAAATATTACCAGTTGTTCCATATACACATTACTTCCCATGTAAATTGTTCCTTCTCAGAGTACAGCTGTGCCCTCTACTGGTATCATCTGAAGCGTGAGTTCACTGCAGAAAACCAGAGGTGCCACAATACCTTTTGATTAAGTGTATAGATCAAAAAGCCTCTTTTGGTAAAATGTTTTAGAACCCTGGCCTGTAATGTACAGCTGCCTTTCCCTCACACATCAAATATTGCCTGTTGCTTTTGTCAGAACAAGTCCCTCCTGGGAACCACACTGCCTTGTGCCACCAGGAATAACTGCTTTTCTGTAATTTGCTAATAAGAAAAGGAGATATGTTTTAAAAAGACTGTGTTGCCAGGAACATGTGAATGATTCCTGGTAATCACCATTCCTACATAAATAATTTGCTTTGTCTTTCCGATGTGGATTTATCTTGTCAAAGTGTTTAAATTTGTGTCAAGTGGTATATTTCCTTAAAAGCTTTTTCTGTACTCCTCATGCCTTTGGAGACAAAAGTTGAGCCATAGGAAGTCAATTCATTTATAGCAACATCTGCATTTCCAAGCATTTTAGTTCTGATCAATAGCTATTAGACTTACGGACAGAATAGTGTGTTCCATAACTTCAGAAACAAATTCCTACAGACAGTTTGAAAAAGTCAGATGTGTGTAGTAATATATGCCAAAATCTTCCTAGGAATAATGCTGTATTAACAAGGACCCAAATAACAGCTAGTCATAAGTAAGTGCTCTCAAGTTAGTTTTCACTTCAGTTCCAGTCCTCTGCAGTGGCTGACATATGTATAATGTTCTGTTGTTGTTCAAGGGTCTCATCTTATTCATCTTAAACTTTTTCTAGATCACCCGGGCTCTGACAGTAGAAAATCAAATTCCTTTTGCATGATTCCTTTATCTGGTTCAACTGCAGGCAAAGAAAGCAGTCGGCATAAGGACCCACCACTGGCTTTTAAGTACAGACCGCAACCTATGCATCTTGAACAAGCAGTGACAGGTAAGATCCCATTACCAGTTTGAGGTGGCAATATTCTCCTTGGCCAGATCTTGGTGATGAAATTGTTTAATGTTTAGAGGACACAGATATCTCTAAATTTTGTGCACATTTTTAGGTATTTAGCATAATAACTCCTCCAAACTTGATACAAATGTCTTATGAGTCTATCTGCGTATAGCTGCTCCTATGTTCTCAGAAGTTCAGGCATTGGCCACTGAGAACATTGGCTTGTTCTTTTCCAGGGTCATATTCAGGCTGAAAACAGTTCTGAAAAGACCATAATAAAAATACAAAAAAATACAGCACACATTGAATGTGAAAGACATTAGTTGTTTAAGTTGGGGAAATTTTTTTTTAACTTCAAGCTGTGTATTCTATACCTCTACAAAGGTAGCTATTGACTACAGAAACAGGTGACTAGGAGGAGGGGGGACCATTCATTTCCTTATTTACATGTCTTCTGAACAGAGGCAGAAAAGGCCAGCTTCTGATTTGTGACCCTGCCTCTGCCTGTAGGTAAAAAGCTCATAAAGCTTCTTGCTTACTTCTTGCAAGCTGGCCTATGACAGTTCTCACATCTAGCTGTCCATCTTTCTGCACTTCAATTTACTTCTGAGTGATGACATAATTTCTGGATAAATCAACAGACTAGTTCATGCAGGAAAAGTTCATCACAGAACTCTACTGGCAACAATCAGAAATCAGAATGAAAGAGGTGTGGTCTCCAAAGCAACAATAGCTTTTGGTTATTAATTTTCTCTTGGTGTATGGTATTTACTTGTCATGGTTTAGAATCATAGAATCATTAAGGTTGGAAAAGACCCCTAAGATCATCAAGTCCAACCGTTGACCCAGCACCACCATGCCCGCTAAATCATGTCCCTAAGTGCTGCATCTACACATCTTTTAAATACTTCCAGGGATGGTGACTCAACCACTTCCCTGGGCAGCCTGTTCCAAGGTTTAACCACTCTTTCAGTAAAGACATTTTTAACCCCAGCCGGCAACTAAGCCCCACATAGCTGCTTGCTCACTCCCCCCCCACAGTGGGAAGGGGGAGAGAATCGGAAGGGTGAAAGTGAAAACACTCGTGGGTTGATAAGGAATAATAAGGAATGAATTGACTACTTCCCATCGGCAGGCAGGGGTTCAGCCATCTCCAGGAAAGCAGGGCTCCATCATGTGTAATGGTTACTTGGGAAGACAAACACCATCACTCTGAACATCCCCCCCTTCCTTCTTCCCCCAGCTTTATACGCTGAGCATGATGTGATATGGTGTGGAATATCCCTTTGGTCAGTTGGGGTCAGCTGTCCTGGCTGTGTCCCCTCCCAACTTCTTGTGCACCCCCAGCCTGCTCGCTGGTGGGGTGGGGTGAGAAGCAGAAAAGGCCTTGACTCTGTGTAAGCACTGCTCAGCAATAACGAAAACATCCCTGTGTTATCAACACTGTTTTCACCACAAATCCAAAACATAGCCCCATACTAGCTACTATGAAGAAAAGTAACTCCATCCCAGCCAAAACCAGCACATTACTGTACACTTAACCCTAATGTCAGTACTAAGTATTCTAATCAGTTTGTGAAAAGAGACAGAACCCAAAGTTCTTGATCATTTTGCCAAGAGTATTGCTTTTGTTACTAGTTTGGCTTTGACATATATTCAAGTTCCCAGTTTCACAACACACGTTTCAAACAGTCCTCCTACCCTGAACTACCTATTATCTGTTCTTCCACTTTCTACAAGACAAAGTTTTCTTATCTATGTTGAGCCAAGCTGCTTTGCACAAAGTTTGATGCAGATGCTAGATGAACAGCACGAGACCTGAAAATCTCCTCCCCTTACACAATCTAAGCACTTAAATCTTTAGAAACACTTACTTTCTGTAATCTAATCTTCATGAGTTTTGAACAAAAGATGAAAGTACATTGGACTAGTTTTGAACAAAGAATGTAAATAAACTAACTCCTCCTCTTCCTTTCCTCTACTGAGTTTATATTTCTGGTGTTGATGCTATCACTTGCTAACAACTTCTGGAAGAAAAGAGCACTTAGTTTATCTCATTTTGTTTCCTTTTCACTCAAGACCCTTGCTGCAAAGGAAACTGCTGTCAAATACTAGCCTGCCAGAGACAGACCATACTGAGCTGCATGACAGAAGGACGTCTCAACCACATCCTCGATGTCCTTCGCTCACAGCAAACGTTGTCCCGAATGGATTATGAAACAATTACCTCTTACCCCACAGTAACTGGCCGTGCTCGGGCATTGTTGGACACTTGCCTTTGCCTGGGAGAGAGCGCAGCACAGGTTGTAGTAACTGCACTTTCAGTGACCAAATGTAGTCCTCTGGGACGAGGCAGCCATTGCCCAGACTGTCCTTCTAAGGTAAATAGGCTGTTGTTGTGACTTTTTTTTTTGCAGTTTGTTACATGGATCAGAGCACTGGTAACTTGGAATGGCAATAATTCATATTAATTCCTCTAACCCATTGACTGAAGTCAGTCCTTCCCACAGTCCATGATTTTAGTCCTCGAGTGGAAAAAGCTAGCTGGATTAAAAGGTCAAGTCAACCACTGCCTGCAGAAATTACCAAGACTGGTATAACAAATTCCAGTTTGGACCTCAGAGATGGGAGGAGTGCAATGTGTATCAGAGGAAATATAGTTCAAGTCAGATGACACCTTATTTCCCTTATTTTTTTAGAAGGGAGGAAAATGGATCATGACTTTTTGGAGGTCGCACTATGGAGGAACAGCTGTTACTAAATCCTTCCAAATAAGGATAGCAAACAGGGTACTGGATGAGGAGAAAAAAATTACTGCCTTTCACTGAGCTCATATCTGAGCCAGCTGTTACAGTAAAAGGCTTAAGAGAATCAAGAAATATTTCTTCAACAGGGCCTTAAGTAAGACTTGGAAATTTTATATTATGCATATAAATTATTTTGTTTTCACTCACAAATGGTCATATGCTCTGAAAATGGGGCACTGATAGCAGCACTTTGGAGAAGTGGGGCTTAAAGTATTTACTAAATGGAAAAACGTTAATACCTTACATCCATGTAGTTCTCTAAGTCTGCAGTTCAAATGTAAAATTAAACGAGGAAGAAGAGGTGCCAAGCTGATCATTTGAAACAGTGGTTCTGCTGAACTGTAAAGGAAAGTAGTAAAATTATCTTAATTCTAATGAAAATGAGGTTATATAAGATGCTGGGTTTTTGAAGGCACAGTGGGATTCCTTCAAGCTTCATGGCACTGGATTAACATGAGAACTTGTTGTACAATCTACAAATATTTCAAATGCAAACCCATGTTACTCTGTTTCCCTATGTTGCATGTGTTCTCTCTGCAGTTTCAAACTGCTTATTGAATTCAGTAGTTTGTCAGGTTGCAAAAAACACAGTGATGATGTGTTTTCTAGGCACATCTAAGATATAAGAAATTTGTTACATACTACAATGCTGCTGGAACCATATTTTTTTACATAAATTCATTAAGCTTTAAGACTGCCTTGAGAAAATATATTGTTACAATTAAAAACCATGTCTATCAGGATATGTTGAAAATAGTTTTGCCTATTAAAGGAGCTAAACATCTGCTTCACTGTGATTTTATTTTTTTTTAATCTACACTTTAAATGGGAACTTTCAACAGACTAGATCAGTCCCTGCTAAAGAAGGATGTCTTGCTTGTGAGGAAAAGAACTGCTGTCATGGCGTTTTGCCTGTTTAGAAGGCATACAATAATCAGAGTAAAACAGATAATCATTCACCTGTGGGAAATATTTACAGACTTTTAAGAGGGAAACTGGCAATATTGTTGAAACTTAATTATCAGCTTTCAAAAATTATTCCATTCCGTTGTTCTGCTGGACACTTTATCCTTCTGTGAAAGATGTGCCAGCTGGCAGGCTATGCTGATTTTTGTCATTATGTTTTTGACATAGAAACAGTTTTGGCTCTTTTCTTGAAACAGCTGCCTACTTGAGAACATAATTTGATGCCAGACCTAAGCCCAGTCTTAACTGTGAATTGCAGAACTGGCATCAAACCAGTAGGAGCACAAGTTATCTGTTTTTCCAGACAGATTTTTGTTCTCATATTTAGCTTTCCAATTTAAGTAATTGCAATAGGATGTGACCTTAGAGTTAGATCTACTGCTATCATGCTTACCCAAATTTTTAAAAGATAACCCAAGAAGACAGTTTGTAACCAATTACAAAACAAAGGCAAATTTGTTACTTCACATTCAGAAGAGCATGAATAGAATTCTTTAAGTATGTTATTTAATAATTAACTCTATCACAATCAGATTTTTGCCACCTTGCTCAACTGAAATCAATGCATGAGTTTGAGATTTTTTGTATTGATACTTTGGCTAATAACTAGCTATGCTACTGCTAAAGCCTTGCTATAAAAATACTTAAGTTGATGTAGCCACATGCATAGACTTCCTCATAACTCTCCCTTGTGTAATATAAACACTTAAATTTGGGGGTTTGTTGACAGTTGTAGCTGTTGGGAATCTTTAAGTGTGGTATTTTGGAGGGATGCTACTAGTTTATTGAAATGAAACTGCTGTTGATATAAGAAGTTTTGATACAAAACTAGACTACAGTGACCTGAAACTAGCACAATTTCATTTTGTCTCACCAAAAATACATACTATTATAAGGCCTATAATGCATTGGCTCTGTAACAAAAACATTAATGTAATGTGTTGATCACTGATGTGAAATATCAAACTGCTTAAAGCTTATGGTATTCTGCTTGTATCCAAGCTAGTTCATTAGCTAAGATTTTTATTGTCCTCGCCTCTGTTCTGCAGTTCTCTTGGTATCACAAAACAATATAGAATAAATGACACTGAGCAAGAGTACAGATAGAAGAATCAAATTGTTCTTTAGTATCTATGGGAAGAAACAAGGCTTGAATCTGAAGAATGTCTAGAGTCCCAGGGAGGAAATATAAAACATGAGTAACTCTAGAAAACAGTGAAGGTAATAGTAAAAAGAAGTCACTTCAGGACTGACCATACAAAGTGATTAGTAAAACTTTATCTTGCAATTACTCAGAAAAGACAAAACTAGAATTAATAGATGTTAAAAATGAGAAGTCATATTCAAATTCTATGAAGCTATTTAGATTTATTAAAGGAACAGTAAGTGGAGTAGGCAGATGGTTATTTTTGTCTTGATTGTAATATATTGTTGTTCTTGATGCTGGTTGCAGCTATCTTTTACTGACTTGTAAAAAAGATGACTGTCCCTTCACCTTTTTCCTACCTATACAACACCTTTATCTTAGCTGGGATACTTCCTGCAATGTAAGAACATCTGCACTAGAATTTGTTTGAGGTTAATTTGTGGAAAATTAATCTGAGGTACTGGAATGAAATGTCTAAGAGATTAGTCCTTCCAGTAGAGAGCAAAACAAAGCAAGCTATAAATACCCCTCAATAGTTGTCACCAGTGCCTGTTAAAAACAGAGTTCCAGAGAACAACAGAGGAAGACAAGTACATATTCATAAAATACTAATCTACAAAACTTTAAAAAGTGCATTAATGGACTGCTAATGTACACAGAAGAATTTTACACCAGGTAGATAGTCTAAGATGTACAAAAACTAAAGCACTAACCAAAACATACTAAACCTCAAGGATTCTTATTTTATTGTTTCAAGTCTGAATTCTACATAACCTTGTAAACATTTTCATGCTTGCACAGGTTTACTTACTTGAGCTATTCATGTGAAGATTTGTAAGGAAGGTTAAATGCATATATAAATATTTGTGGGACTGGTATGTTAGGGAAGGACCCAACCATCATCAAGGCAGGCATAGAGAATTTAGGTTTCTTTACTGCTATTTATTGATTATAGTGCCATGCAACTATTAAATATGCTCTCCTCCAGTAATATGTGTTGTCTCTGAGACTGCTGGGGTGTTTTATGCATGAAGAAATCTTGTCTTGTGCTATATTCCCTCTCATTCTTTTCCTGCCCCCTTTGCAAAATATTATACTGGAGCTCAAAAGGCCTTAGCATAGTTTTGATTTTGTTCTTTATCAAAGGAAGCAATCCCTTGCTTGCCTTGCCTGGTACTACATTCCCTTTACTGAGCACACGGTTGACTTGACAGCTGGTATGTCAGCCAAGTTAAACAAAACTCCCAGATTTTGAAGGTAAGTCCACCATAAATTAAACTACCTGACAAGGTCTGCGAAGAACATATTTAATGAGTTGTGTTACATTAAAGTTAGCGTATCTGCAAGAATACATTAATTGTACAGTTAAATTCAGTATGTGTTAAAGAAAGGCTGCTGGTAGTTGCAGCATTGCATTTTGCTTAATCCCAACATGACAAAAATGGTAGGCAAGAAGCTCAGATGTACTATTTCCAGCTCTTGTGCTAATATGACAGAAATTTGTGATCAGTATTTTGTTATTTCCTGCCTTTATTTCTCTTTGCCAAGAATACATCCCAAGTAAGAGTTAGAGGTCTATAGCCTCAAACTGCCATCTTTGCTGGGCTTTAAGGTTGACCTTTCCTCTTCCACAGAAGTAAGAGATGCATTAGTTGAAGAAACTGTGGACTCCTTCAACCAGGCTGAATTAAATGGCAGTGATTCAGAATAAAAACTTCTTCACCCCTTGAAATGTGATAACATTCCAAAGTATTGCAACACCTATTTCCAACTGTTGGTCTTGAACTTTCCACATAGCAACAGCAACATCCATACGAGCAGAAAGTGCAGCTGAATTCCACCCTTTCAGAAGTAACCTGGCTGTACTCCAGAAAGTTCTGTACAGTTAGTCCTTCCTTTAGATTTCAAGGAAAAGCATTCATATTAGGTAACAGGATGACTACCAACATTATATTTGTTTTCCTTTGTTGACCAAAAAGGGCTTAAAGCTTTTTTTTCAACTCAGTAGAATGTTACCTGGAGGAAAAAAAGCTGAGAAGCGACTAAGGAATGCATCTGGAAAATAAAAAAAAAAGTATGAGACTTTTGACCTTGGAATAGCTGCAAACTATGTTCCCAACAGAGTTGTCTTTATGCCACTTACATGTGCTGTGATAGCGTCCCGTCACAAAAGAACAGGAAACTAGAAGGAAAAAAACCACTGTGAGGTGAGCGCCTGGCATGTTCACTTTAGTGTGCAAGGTGCCAAAGTAACCATTGTTTTCCATTCCACGCTGGCAATGTTTTAGCTGGAAAACAGTATACAGCTCTAAGCATGGACCGGCGAGAGCCCAGAAGAGAGAGGAAGGCTGTGAAGAAATCTGACGTGTAAGAACAAGTTGATAAAACTGTGTTTGTTTGGTCTAGCAAAGAGGAGGTGAAGGGAAAATATAAGAGTCTGGAACAGAGGTAGTGAACATGCAGTGACGAAACAGAGGACCTGGTACCAACCAGTTGTCTGTTCCTATGGCTTTATGATTCTGGAGTGGCTTTCAAGCAGGTGCTCAAAAAGATTTAAAGGTCGTTATGAAGACAGTCTCCTTTCCCACACCCAGAGCAATTAGCAATATTCATGGAACTTTTTTTTTTTACCTGAACAAGAGCTCTTTAGTTGACAAAATTAATGTAAACAACAGTGACTTCCTAAGCCTTTTCCTTCAGCCTGTTCAGTTTATTTATGCAAAATACAAATGTTTAAAGTGATTTAAGGGAGAAATGAATGTCTTTTTGCTGGGAGTTACATAACATGAATATTTATAACTACCCTGTAACTCAATCACTATTTATTTCACTAAAATCTACCTGTGAAGTCATGTGTCTGTCTGTTAGCAAGTCAGCTATCAGGAAGATGGAATAGAGAGAACCTGAATTAAAGAGCCCTGGGGATTATTTCCACCCTCTACAGTGCTTCTGTGAATTCTAAAAAGAAAAGAAGGTGCTCCTACGTTTTTGCTTCTCTGCAGATCATGCTTGGTCATCTTCTCACAAATACAATGAAAAGCTTTTCCGTCTTTATTAAAAGGCAATCTTTATCAAGCAAGATTTCTGTCAATCCCTTAAATGTTTGCTGAGAGAGCCACTGAAACGTGTAAACTTTTTCATTTAGAAAAATTTAATTAAAACTTAATTAAAGATTCTTTATTACCCTGAACTTTCTCTTCTCCCCTTTTATCTATTTTTACAATGGGATTTTCTTTGCATTAATATATTTCCCTCCCTCTTTTTGCATGAAACCACAGGAACATAAAAAAAAAACTTATGACACAATGTTAAAATGCAAACAAAATCATAGAAAAAAAATAGAACGTTATTTGTGCTGAACTGGTATGACCTCACACAAAAATTTGACTGTTTTTCTGATAGACTGCATGTCTCAGCCCAGTTTTACTAAACCCTGTATGACACAAAGATTTACAGCCAAAGAAATATTTCAACTCAGGGAAGCTTTCTGCAAAACAAGCCAATACTCCTGTCTCCTCCCTTCTGCTCTGACTCCTGCAGAGCTGGTTCAAATGCAGTCTGACATCTCTGGCCTAAAACCTGTTCTCTCCGCTAAAATCAATTGTATGTTGGTATTCAAAGCTGCAGATTTATTTGTTTTATAGAAATCTCTCACTTAGGTATAGAATTA